ATATATATATATATATATAGCAACACAGGACTTTCATTGTATGGAGGGGAAAAAAGCGCACAAATAAATTTTTCAATATATCTTCTTTTGTGGTCCACAGAAAAAAATAAGTCATACAGGTTTAGAAATGACATGATAGTAAGTAAATGACCGAATTTTCATTTTTGGGTGAGCTATCCCTTTAATTCGGCTCTCATTTGAAGAATAGATGATTTTGTGAATGCTCAACATCTCATGAGCTTCTAAGTGAACATGCCTCCAAAAAAAATCTTCAAACGCATACAATTTCAGATTAAAGGGCATTTAAATCAAAAGGTCCTTTTTTGAATAAACTAATGAAATCAATGCTAAATCTATGCAAATAAATGCACGTCATTAATCAGAGAAGCTGACAAGCAACGCATATTGCTGTGGGGGGGAGGGCAAAGCACAATAAAAGTGATACATTTTCCCATGTTCCTCTCTCTCCCTTGCACTTAAGGGTTATAGTTTCGCTTTAGCCTATCTAGTCCGCTATACCAAAAAATTCTGCATTTTACGGAGTGGGTTTTTTCCTTTTCTCCCAAACTCCCCCCTGAGAGGAGGCTTCTAATAGAGCATGGAAAATAAAACAAATGGAGGGAGAGAATTCAAAGCATGAGAGGTAGGGGGCTGACAGCCGATAGGCAAGAGAAAATTAACTGGGAGCCCTGCAGTGTGGCCATATTGCCTGAAATAACCAAATTCGCTTCGGAAGAAAACTCAATGACAATTTTGATATCCATTTGCAGGAAGCTGAAAGGGATATGTCATAATAAGTGTCCATCTTGTATAATGCAATCCCCACCAGCGCCGAGCTCCACGCTAATATTGCTTGTCTTAAATGGCAGGGCCTTTAATATGATTTATATTTGACTTCTACACTCCATTAAGTGCACTCGATAATCTGCGCTTTGACCTAGCGACGCCTTTTGGCTCAGATCCATTTTTGCTATTCTTTTTTTTTTTTCTTTTCTGCTGTCGCAAAATGATGATGGGATCAGAGTTAAAAAACTGTCCATGAATGATGATGAAATAAAACTGAGCTGGCCTCCTTTTGTCACTGAATAATAGGATTATTAATATCAGTGTGGAGAATGACTATTAACTTCAATTAGGACTCTCTAAAGCTCTTGATATATTCAAATCTGCAAATAACTCTCCTGGTACTATTAATATTGGCATACAAGTGTCTAGCCACACAAGAGTGCTATCTAATGTTGATGTTGTGCTATCTAACGTGATGTTTTTTAATTAGCAAGTTGGGTTATTAATGAGGGATTCTAATTAAATACAGTTTTTTTTTTTTGTATGACACAAAAACTGCAGCATTGTCTGCAATGCATTTAATAAATATTAAAATCTTCTTATACACACCTAAAAACAAGAAAAGGAAAAAAAGAGACATAAAAAACACATTGTAAATGTCATATTAAAATAAAAAAAACAATAATAAACATAAAATAATCAAATTTATAAATGAATAAACCAAAAGTATTATGATTAAAAAACAAACAAAATATATGTATATTATTCCAGTCAATCAATATACTGTCACTTTAATATCTAATTTGCATCACAAAAACACTAAAATACATTTTTCATTTATAATCTTTATATTTTAACAGATAATAAGACCTAAATTTAAACATCAATTTCTTAAAAAAAAAATACTATTCTGTGACAGTTAAACATGGTACATGTGTTTGACAAGGCCTTTATCAGCACGCCTGACCATTTTGACAGGAGAATCGCTCTTCAGAACGAGACGGGAGGGAGAGAGAAAAATGAAGAGATCATTGGCGAGGAAACTCCAGAACAAAGAGGCCTTCAACGAGCTAAATGTTTCCTGGGTCATACGCTCGTCCAAAAAGGGGCGGAAGCCGGAGTCATTGTATTGATTTACACAATCAGGCATCCTATTCGCTGGGTCAGAAAATAGCACCCATACTGTTGTCACATCCTCATATATCACAGCAAAGCCTCTGGATAGTGTGTTATGGCCACAAAGACACACAGATTGCAATGTTGTGGAGACGCAGAGTGCGTGAGAGGAGAGGGGGTTCGAGGTCAGGGAGATTTGAAGTGCCTCCAGGTCACACTTAACAGGACACTTGAGTCACATATACAGTACAATGTCACAGATTTTTTTTTTTACAGTGTACTGCTATATACTGTAACACACTGGCAAACAATAGACAAGCAACTGATTCAGACATACAAAAGCAGTGCTAAACACATCAGAGCATGAACCAGTGAAGGGAGGGAGACCGTCTGATCTGATATGGTTGGGTACCTGCCATGTAATGTGTGAGTGTGTGTGTGTGAGTGTGTGTGTGCATTGGGGGGGTTGAGGTGAAAAGCACAAAACAATTCTGAGTAAGAAAGTGTCATAATAATAGTACTTTTTCTCTTCCTCTCATGTGTCAAATCATCCCCCAAAAATCTACAAAGGTTTCATGTCACCTAACGCATGTACAGTAGCCTATAATTAAATTAATATATATCAGATATATTGGTCATACAGTCTTTTGAACACGTTTTTCTTTTTTAAATGTATATATATATATATATTATAAATGTTTGCTTTGAATATAGTGCTGAATTGCTGTCAAAGGCCCAAACAGCATTCGCCTTGCTTTTATTTCCAGACAGAGGCGAAGGACAATTGATAAGTGTGATCTCTGCCTGCAAACAGCAGAGCTCTATTAATTATGGTTGGCAAAATCATGCAGGCAGAAGGAGCCAAGCAGACTACAGTGAGGGCTAGAGCCAACAGACTGTGATGCCCTGAGAACAGTGACCTAACAATCTGATCTATGTACTGAAACAGACATGCTTATAGATATATGAAGAACATGTATAAATATATCATAGTCTATTAAACATCCGTTCAAACTTGTCTCCTTTTTTTTTTTAAAGAAGAGAAATGTTTTTACTCAGTGAGTGCCATATAAGCGCCGCGTCATGTGATGATGGGGATTTGGAAAGGGCACGAGGAATCTTGTCACGTAGCCACGAGGTGATCTTGTTTGTTATTTGATTTCAGAAATAATATCGCGAGAAGGTGTTTCTGCATTTCGCGCATTGATAAACAACTTATATTTTTCCAGATATCGTAGTTGCGTGATCTGAAGAATTGTATCTCAAATCGTTAAAATATTTCCTTATTGCAGTAGGATTTTTGAACGTTTAATCTGACGGACAAAAAAATGAATAAAAGGTTAAAATAAGAAAACACAGGCACGTTATAAAAGCACAAGATGTTGAAACAACGTTACAAAAAGTTGTAGGCTAATTAAAACGAATTGTGACTAATTGTACACTGGACAAGAACAGAAAATGTATACGACTCTAGTAGTTAATAAAAAAATTATAAAATAAGTTCAGATTTATAAGATAATATTTTCTTTCCATCGAACAAATAAAAAAATAGTTTTAATTCAAAACATAAAAGAACTCTCGTAAAAGACGAATTATAAAGATCAAAAAAACGCTTCTCCTTTTACATTTGCTATACCACTTCGGAATGGCTTATTTTTATGCAAAAGTAAAAATTTACAGAATACTCTTTTTTTAAATAATTAAAATTAAAATAACTAATTAGACACAAAATGCGATAGGAATTTAAATATGTTAGGAAGAACTCCTTAACGCACTTTATATAAACTAAAAAGGCCTTCATCTTCATTTAACAGTGAACTTCACAAAAACATAAACCTAATCTTTTTATATGCTACAAGTAAGACGACGACACAAATGAACATAATGCTTCATTTGCTGTTTTATAAGAAAATTACTAATAACATGGATTAATGTTTGAAATATTTAAAATGAAACAAAAGATTCCGGCGTTCGGTACTGAGACGTCACCATATTAATATTGCAAAATAATTGAAATAATATCTCTATTAGTATAATATTCAAAGCGAATTTTAAATAACATACACTAACGCTATATTGTCAAACGTGGACATTTAAACATTGAAAATATCACGTGAAACAATACTGCAACACCAAAAGAAAAATCGAATTAACAGGTCAACGAAAAACATTATGCACGTCAAACTACAGAGAAAAAAATATATACAAACGATAGCCTATTTTTGTCAAATTGTAATACAGATTTTAAAACGATAATGAAAATGAAACTTTTAAATATATATATCAAATTATACATCTTAAATATTCTATTCTCAAACTTAGCCTATAAAATGACATTATTTCTGATAAAAAGAAAATAGCCTAAATAATAACAGGCATAATCTGTATCTAATAAGAAAAGCAGGAAAGCCGTATATGTCGCGAATAAACCTGTATCTTCTCCCTCCAAAGTGTAGGTGTGTTTCCACCAGACGAGTTGGTTGTGTATAAAAGCGGAGGATTAATCTGTCGTCAAAAAACTGAAGGCAGTGACGACTCGGGCCGTGATTGGACGAGCTCCTCTCAAACCCTCCCTTTATAATTTCTCAGGAGTGAGTTCGGAGTCTTAAACACACCAACACAGCTAGGACACACTTAAGAGCACCCTGCACTTTCCAACCCCTATTGCAAACAGAGAAAAGACACCGCACGTGGATACAAGAGGTTTGCTGAACTACTGATCCGTGCGTATGGACTTTTAAATGCTGAATTAGAGCAAGGGGTTTGACTTTTTTTGTTGGTCGCAATTGAAAACAGAAGCTGATGATTTAACTGTCCGACTCTGTGCATGTGCTCAACGCACAAATAAAAAAGCTTATTTTTTAATTCATAATCCATTTTTTTCCTCTAAATAGTCCACTTTCTTCTCTAAAATTGGCTCCTGTACAAACAGCCGCGTTGGATCCCTCGGGTTACTGCGAGACTCCGGTGTACAACCCGGATCTCTGTCCAAATATGATCGCCGCCCAGGCCAAGCTGGTGTATCATCTCAATAAATACTACAACGAGAAATGCCAGTCTCGGAAAGCGGCCATCTCCAAGACCATCCGGGAGGTGTGCAAGGTGGTCTCAGATGTCCTGAAGGAGGTGGAGGTCCAGGAGCCTCGCTTTATCAGCTCCTTAAACGAAATGGATAACCGCTTCGAGGGGCTCGAGGTCATCTCCCCAACAGAATTCGAGGTGGTCCTGTATCTGAACCAGATGGGGGTCTTCAACTTCGTGGACGACGGCTCTCTGCCGGGCTGCGCCGTGCTGAAGCTAAGCGACGGGCGGAAGAGAAGTATGTCCCTCTGGGTCGAGTTCATCACGGCTTCGGGATACCTGTCCGCGCGCAAGATCCGCTCCAGGTTCCAGACGCTCGTGGCGCAGGCGGTGGATAAGTGCAGCTATAGGGACGTGGTTAAAATGATCGCGGACACCAGCGAGGTGAAATTACGCATCAGAGACAGATACGTGGTTCAGATCACCCCCGCGTTCAAGTGCACCGGCATATGGCCGCGCAGCGCTGCCCACTGGCCGATGCCGCACGTCCCGTGGCCTGGTCCGAACAGGGTGGCAGAAGTCAAAGCCGAGGGTTTCAATCTCTTATCGAAGGAGTGTTACTCGTTAAACGGGAAGCAGAGCTCGGCGGAGAGTGATGCCTGGGTGTTGCAGTTCGCCGAAGCGGAGAACCGACTGCTCCTGGGAGGGTGCAGGAAGAAATGCCTGTCCCTGCTCAAGACGTTGCGCGACCGTCACCTTGAACTACCCGGGCAGCCTCTCAACAACTACCACATGAAAACTCTTGTGTCTTACGAGTGCGAAAAACACCCGCGCGAGTCGGACTGGGACGAGAACTGCCTCGGGGATCGACTGAACGGGATTTTATTGCAGCTCATTTCGTGCTTGCAGTGCAGGAGATGCCCCCATTATTTTCTGCCAAGCCTAGACCTTTTCCAAGGAAAGCCACATTCGGGCCTTGAAAACGCTGCCAAACAGACTTGGCGAATGGCGAGAGAAATTCTAACCAACCCTAAAAGCCTGGAGAAACTCTGAGGTAAAAAAAATAAATAAACGGCATGTTTGTGAATAGGAGGTCTGACCGATCAAAGTTCTGAGGCCTAGACGATGCTAATCAGGAACTCTTCCACAAAATGGTCACTGTTGAAACCAACCCATGTTGTAAAAATATTTTAGAGAGCTCCGTTTAAAAATGCTTCACGTGACATTAATGTGTCTTAAGGAGGGAGCAAATTGTATCAACAATCAAAATGAATGGTGACCTGTCAGTATTACTGTTTCTTTCTTTTCTTTTTACGAGCCCTGCCCAACAGCACGTTTTACCTAAACAAAGCTACGTGACAGAATACAACTTGTACATTTTATACTGTAAATAGACACATTTGTAGATTGTGAATCCAGTGGTCTGCAGTTGTGAATGTTGTTCTGTGACACGTAAATAGAAGTATCATTTCACCTGTTTTAACATTCGCCTGGATTATTTCTGAAGAGAGAAAGAGGAAAAAAACATTTAGACCTTCATCAGCGATTTAATCTATTGTCAATGACAAATTTCTAAAGTTTACATTTTAATGGTACTATTTGTTACGTTCCCGAACATTCCATACGCATACTTGAATTCTTATTTAAAGTATATTCGACCGTTTTTGTTTGTACCTTGCTTACCTGATAAAAGGCTGAAATTGAGAATATATATATATGAACAAATATACCTGAAAATAATGCACTTGAAATACACTGGAATATAACATTTTGTGATTTGATTTTGTTTTATATCTGTCTCTGAGTTTATTTAAAGAGTTAATAAAAACAAATTAATATTTGTGTCCAAATAATGATTCATGATGCATAAACATTGCAGCGTAAGAAAAGGCACGATTTTTGGGGATCTTTGAGCATCTGGATCTTTGGCATAAAAATGACACGATGTAGCCTGATTCTTACAAAATAATAAAAAAACAAAAACGGGGAAAACACCAAAAGAAAGTTTTTGGTTTTTCACCAAAACAGAAAAACTTTTTCCTATGAACAGTGTTGTTGAGCGAAGGATAAAGATTAACTGAAATATGAACTATAACATCCGCCGTTGCGCTTTCCAGCAAATATTACAAACGAATGTGATCAGTATATTTTGATTATATAAAAACAATCTGTGCAGTAACAAAGCAGGACCTTAAATCGAATATATATATATATACACACACACACACACACACACACACACATACATACATACATTCATACACACACATAAAAATGAATGCAAAATTGAGTAGCCGATGAATAAAACCACAAGTATCCTCTTTGTTGGCCCCAACACAACACCTATTAATTCAAACAATTCCAAATACTATGTTGTTAACAGTGGAGGAAGAGTAGGAAATAAGCCAGTTTTAATCACATTTCTCTTATAAGGAGTTATGCTGAACGAATAAAAATGTTGTGTAATTGCAAATAATTCGACAAGGCAACATATCGCTTCACCTGTGAAAAACTAGTGAGCCCTTTAATCCGAATCAAGGCCCTCTCATGCACTGAAAAAAATGCTACTAAATTTTTTTAAGGTAAGTGGTCGCAAATAATTTATTTTAGCTACATTTAATTAAAAAAATATGTTGAAAGTTAGTCAAATAAATTTGTTTATTTAAATGTAGCTAAAACAAATTGATTGCAACCACTTACCTTAAATTTGTTTTAGTAAATTCAATGAATCATTTTTTTCAGTGTGTAAACTAACACGTTTAATAGAGAAAGAGGCAATGTGGCCTAGAGGGACACTTGTGAATCCAGAGACAATACAGCATTAATCCAATGCGCAGAGAGGATTAGCGCGAAAACCTTCAGAGACCTTTAAAAAATTGGGATCAAACAAAAATACGTTCATATTACATAATCAGAGCGATCAGGTTTCACATCTCTAATCTCATCTGCCGCTGGGACTGGACCGTTTCTCGATCGTGTAAAACCATATGAACGACATTTATCGATGCTTCTAAATATTAGCTATAGGCCCAGCCTATGTACGATACTATAGGCTACAATACTATACTATACTATACTATACTATAGGCCTACTATATAGCTACTATACTATACTATAGCATACTATATTTTACGATAGCCCCCCCCCCAAAATAAATAAATAAATAAATAAATAAAAATAAAAGTTACAAAAAATAAAATTACAAAATAAATAAAAAATAGTAGTAATAATAATAATAATAACGACTGTTACGTGTAACTTTTCCTGTTAAGCCTATTTGATTAATTTGTATTGCCGGTGTTCAAGTGATGTAGCGTTGATTTCAGAATACTAGTGAGGATTAGCAGATTATCATGTTGGAATGAAACGGGTGCAGTTGTACTCAGCAAATCTGAGCTGCATGCAGTCGGGTCGCGCACGCTCTGTCCTGACGTCAGCTGTTAATAAGACTGCCTCGCGCTATCGACTGTGATTTCACTGGAGTGTGGCGAGACAAAGGCATGCTGGGAAAATAGATGATTGTTCTCTCTGTCACTACATGGGCCCTAATAAGAATATGAAAATAAGACCATTTTTTGTTTGATCATAGTACAAACGTAGGCTAGATGTGAAATAGATTAATAGAGTATAAAGCAGATATAACTGGTACAGGTAAAATGTTAATACGGTGGTCTAATATGTAACCACACACACACACATGAGAGAGCGTGTGTGAAAGAGAAAAAAAATCAGTATCAAATCTCTTTAACATCACACCTATTCTGTCTATGTTTAGCTGACAGCTCCTGTACTCTTATTGGCTGCAGGCAAACTGAGCCCTTCCCATTGGCTGTGAGAAGGCTGATGTTGATTGGCCTATTGTTTACGCTGCGCTCATTAGCACTAGCATTAGCGTGTAGGCCTGATGTCAAAATAGAAACAGAGCACACAGCATACTGACACAGATGGCACAGCTCCCATTGTGGCAAAGATACACAATTCAGATAACAGAGATCAACTATAGTAAAACAAACATATGCATAAACACACATCTTTAAAAACTAAATGTTGAGCAAATAAAATGATTGTTAAAACAGGTCACAACACAAGGCTACCTGCAATGAGTCAAAAATAGCCAACATACTGAATAAAACAAATTTAGGAATAGTCATCCACAAATACTGCACAAACCTTCAGTGGCAGATAATTAATGGTTTCCACTGATTTTTTTTTTTTCAACATAAATTTACTAAAGTTGTCTTTAAAATAATCAGTACTTTAAAGTATTGTAAATACAAAGTGCTGGAAATACAAAATCAAAGTGCTGGAAATACAATATCAGTGCATTTGATGCTTTATATTAATCTATTTAATGGTGCTCATTTAACATTTCAGGAATTTATAAGCTGTGCCAGGATTTATGATTAATTGCATTCCAGTAAAATGACTTTTTATATCGATGGAAGAAAAACAAGAGCAGGAACACACCAGTCTGCATTCCTGCACTCCGAATTGGCTTATATTGGTGGGAACATATTAAAGGTAATTGAGGCAATCCTTGATGAATTCCTACAGAGTCAAAA